TTTTAACTTTCCACTGCCGCCAAGTGCTTGCTCATGGGGGGTTGGTATGATTGTCTGACTGTTGAGGTTTCTCTTTATTGCTGTAGGGGTTTACCTTACAATATAAAGCTCCTGAGGTGACTGTTGTGATAAGGGTTAAGGCGCTGTATTAATAAAACTGAGCTGAATTAATACAGTATTAACATGTGAGTTTGGGACAGCAATGGCTCGCCCATGCACACATAATGTATATCTGTCCCTGCAGAGTGGCCCTCCCCCCTGCCTGCTTCACTTCACTGAGCTGCACAAAATGGCTTTATTAAAACCACGAGGGACTGACTCTGCAGTACTGTCAGCAAGGTTTAACGCAGGGCCAACTTACCCTTTCATCCATCTTTTTACTCCTTCATGACATCCCTATGCTTTTGTAGGTTTGTATGCAAAGAGGGTTTGGGTCAAAACAGTTGATCAATATAGGATCAGTCTTGTTCTTTCACTTTCAAGTATAAAGCAGTATAAATCCACAAAGACTTAGGAGTATATGGGTCTGCAACCAGAGCAGCCACATGCCTTCGGTTTGTTTGCAGTAACGGCTGACTGTGGACAGTTTGGAAAGGTGCAGACACACTCTGTCCCACAATGCGTTGCTGTGGCTGATAAGCCCACCTTCAGCTGGTTCAAAGGTCAGACTGAAGAGAGCACGAGAGAGAGGCCTATCAGCTGAGCTGTCTATTAATCAAAGATGTGTTGTTATTATGTTCCTGCTCACTGTGTTATTTGCAGAACATGCTAAACTACTAAACCTTTTAGAAACACTTTAATAGATTTAATAGCATGCAAGAACTCAGCAGTCAGAGTATTTCATCTGTGGACTTTCACTACAAGCCTGATGTTTTCTTTTCCCCAGACTGCCTTGAAGAAGACCCCACTATTTGACTTCCACAGGGGGCAGGGAGGAAAGATGGTGGAGTTTGCAGGCTGGAGTATGCCCGTTCAGTATAAAGACAGTCACATTGCCTCTCACATGCACACCAGAGAGCACTGCTCCATCTTTGATGTCAGTCACATGTTGCAGGTGAGGCATGCGCTCTTAAACATGGGTGCAGATTTCAAGTAGAGCATCGCAACTTGGATTTGAGACTTTCTGAGATATTCTGCTGTAAATATTGGGAGCAGAGTGTGACCCCTGTGTCAAGCAATGTGTGTGTCAAGTGAAGAAATGTATGTGTTAGTCACATCATGGCAGAGTAAAAATGTCTAGTGTCTGGCTGTTGTTTTTATCCACCACCCAACTCTCCAGGAAACTGCTGCTGTTAAAGATTTAATTACAGACTTTTTGTTTTTCTCTGTCAGACCAACGTCCACGGCAAAGACGGGGTGAAGTTTATGGAGTCACTGGTGGTGGCAGACATCGCAGAACTCAAAGACAACCAGGTACGTTAACGATTGTTTCGTTTTAAAACTGCTTTTACTGACTTTTTGTTCACTTTGAGGCAAGTGAGGGGAAGCTGTGAACACAAAACTAGCAGATCAGACATGTTGACTTTAATCTATTTTTTTTTTCCTTCCAAAAATATAATCGTCTGGTGCTGAGCAGGCAGTGTACACAGTTTATACTGAGAGGGTTTCCTCTAAAGCACCTGCCAGTTGTATTTAGAGACAAACAATGAGACTGTATCCACTGCAGCATGAGGGCATCAGTTCACTCTTGTTGTGTGAATGATTATAAAGGATATATCTTTAATCAACTTAAAAAACATATTCAAACATGTACATACATGTATGTATACACACAGGGCTGCACATAAGTGGTCCGCAGGTGCGCATGCGCTTTCAAAATAAAAGACGCGCACCAGATAAGAAGTTGCAACGCGCGTTTGCGTACATAAGATTTTCTGGAGGAGGACAGACATTTGTTTAGAACTCTTAAAGATGTCGAAGAAGCAAGCTCCTTTTAATCAATTACTTTGGTGTTCCTCCACCTCCAAAGAAATGTCAGCAGGAGTCCGAACCGCAAAAGAAGCACGTATTCTCGGAAAAGTGGTTGCAGGAGGTGAGCTGGCTTCAAACAAATGATGAACGCACTGAGATGTGGTGCAGAATATGCCGTGAAAGTCTCACTCTAGTGGACAAAAACAGTGCCTTTTATATAATATAAAAGGCACCACTTTTCCGAGAATACGCGCTTATTTTGCGATAATGCAGAAAACAGAGATTTTTAGACGGGGAAACTGTTCTTGAAGTTCACAGAGAGAGAGAGAGAGAGAGAGAGAGAGCTGTGCATGAAGCGTGGGTTTTTTTTTTTTTTTTTTTCCTTTTATCTCTGTGAAAGCAAAAAAGCCAAAGTCAGAGAGAATTCATGACGATGTTTATGTGAAGCGTAGTTTGGATCTTCTTTTGCTGCTGGTTCAGTCAATATTGTTTGGAGAAAGAGATAAAAACCTGCAGCTTCAGAATGTAGCGCAAACGCAAAGCGCGGACCCGCTGACACATCGGAGTCCGTGAGCTGTCGGCTTTCAGCCCCGACCGCGCCCGTGCCGTCGGGTGAGAAAGGCGACATCTCACTGATTCTGATGTTTCGGCGGCTGCCTGGTTTTTGTTCAGAATCTGTGTACCTGCTCTCATTTACTGTTTAAGCTGTTTGGTGGTTGTTGAAAATTTTGTGAGGTTTAACCTGAGATTTTGGCGTTTCTGGCAAAATACATTTATATTTAAAAATCGATTCAGATTTTAATGAATCGATATCACGTTATCAAAGCTAGAATCAATTTTAATCGATAAATCGGTAATTAAAACCCACCCCTAGTTCCAAGATCTGCGTGAGCACCCAACTGTGTCCAAGTTTCAACCATCTAGCTCAGGGGTGGGCAATTCCAGGCCCTGAGGGCCGGTGTCCTGCAGGTTTTAGATCTCGCCTTGGGTCAGCACACCTGAATCACGTGATTAGTTCGTTACCAGGCCTCTGGAGAACTTCAGGACATATTGAGGAGCTAATTTAGCCATTGAAATCAGCTGTGTTGGTTCAAGGACACATCGAAAATGTGCAGGGACACCGGCCCTCGAGGCCTGGAGTTGCCCACCCCTGATCTAGCTGTTGACTTGAGGTGAAGTTGAAGAATTTGCACATAGTCCTCATTCTTCATTATTCAAACTATTTTGTGTAATGTACTAGTGTCACTGGTAGTAAAGCCTCACCTTTACTCCTCTAAACGTACCTCCTGTCGTTGTGGCCAAAAAAGCTTTTCTCGTCCGACCATAAAACTTTTTCTTGTCCATGTGAACAGCTGCAAATTCCATTCAAGCTTGAAGATGCTGATTTTGGAGCGTGTGCTTCTTTCTTAATTGGTACCCTTTTAGTTCACAGCGACGTAAAACCTCACTGTGGACAGTGATGATGGCGTTCCAGCAGTATACAGTTATACAGGCTTGAGTCCTTGTGGTTCCTGGATTGTTTGTCTTTCCTTCAGTTGTTTGAACTGATGATCTTGGAATCTGCAGTTGTTTAGAAATGGCCCCAAGAGACCTTCCCAGCTTGTCTAAATCTGAAGTTTCTCTTAAGGCATCTTCACTGAGTTGGGTTTTCAGTTATTCTAAGTATTGGCTAATCCAGTGAGTGCAAGAGAGACTTAAAGATGAGAAACTTAACATAAACACGATGTCCACAGTGTCCTTTTTTTCTGTTTCCTTCATTTCCTTTCTTGCCTCACCTCCAAGGGCACGTTGACCCTCTTCACTAATGAGAAAGGTGGGATTATTGATGACCTCATTGTGACAAAGACGGACCAGGGCTACCTCTACGTTGTCTCCAATGCCGGCTGTGCTGACAAGGACTCTGTTCATATGAAGGTGAATTCAAGAAAAGTATGTAGCAAAGAGACCGAGATTTAAAAAGCATCTGATGTGTGTGGGTGTGTTTTGTTTTCAGGCCAGACTGGCAGAGTTCAAATATGCAGGTTCTGATGTGGATCTGGAGTTTCTTGATTGTGCACTGATTGCTGTGCAAGGTAGAATATTTGTGCGACAGTCCGCCTTCTTTTTCTTTTCATCGGTGCTCTTACTATAGTCTTCATCACTTCCTTTCCTTTATACTTCTCTTCCTGCTTCCTTTTCATCTTAATTTACTTTCCTCTGGTTTTGCTTTCCCTCATTCGCTCTTTCTCTGTCCATCTATGAATTTTGGCTATTGCTTCTGATTTTTTTTTTTTTTTTCCTTTTCCTTTTGAACTCCTGCAGTTTAGGTGTTTCAGATCTTGCAGATAAGAATTTATTTGCATGTCTCCAGGTCCCACTATGTCTCAGGTGCTCCAGGCGGGATTGAAGGAGGACCTCAGTAAGCTAACTTTCATGACCTCTGCCCTGGCCACAGTGTTCGGTGTCCCTGACTGCAGACTAACTCGATGTGGATACACTGGAGAGGACGGGGTGGAGGTGAGCACATATGTGTGTGCTTGCAGGTTCTTTCATGCTTCGGGACAACTAGTTTTGTATTATAACTTGTGTTTAATGGACAGTGTTTTTATTAAAAAAAAAAAAAAAAAAAAAAAAGAAGTAAATTGGCAAGCAGTTCTGTGGGGTCCCACGCCTCTCTGCTGGCCCTGTCCCCCATCACTCCCTCTGACAACCAAAAGCCCATGCAAGTCCTCAAATGTCCGTTATTGCCTGGACAGTGTGTTATTTCTTTCTAACCTCAGTGTGTAACTCTTATTAGGCCTGGTCTTTAGTGAGCTAACCACTGGGACTTGTGCAAAAGCCCACACTCTCAGATACAGTGCCATTTATGGAAAAGAGTGCAGCTCTAAAAGAGGCATATGTGACCTATCGAAACCACAAATGCAAAACCAAATGTTAGGCCAAAGTCAAAAGGCTGTGGACTAACTACTCTGTATCCTGCCATTGTTGATTCACAAGTTGTCTTTTTAAAAAAAAAAAAAAAAAGATTAGTTACTTGCTGATATGCACCCGGTCAAAAAGGAAGAACCTGTTTCATATGAATGATCTACTAAAACAAGTAATTTTTTTTTTTTTTTTTTTGGCTGCACACTGTCTGAACACTCTGAACTCCTGTAGAAAGCAGGATGGATGTCGTTGGATCTCTCCATCTATCTTACACAGCGATGGTGGCAGCTTGATTTTCTTTGTCTTCATTTCACTCTGTGCTCAGGCTCACATCTGTTTACTATACTTATTGTAACGGTTTGAGTTATCAAGCTAATTACCTGTTTCTCTTAAAAATGTTAAAATATTAATCTGTAATTAATGTTGAGTGACCCTGTAGTGAAGCTTATGGGCTCAAATTGTGGTCACAAATATTTTGTACTTGTAAATCAGGATTTGTATGTGTAAAAAGAATTTGTGTGTGGACTTAGCCAAAAAATGCGTGTGAAACTCTGGACTCAAGTGTCAAGTTACAAGTACGAAATTTGACCCTATTTTTCTTCCTTTCATCTGATTGGTCAATGTCATGTCAATCACAATTTTAACTATCCAATCAGAGAATAGATGGGTTTGGCTGTCTGAGGGGTGCTTTTTGAACTGCAGGTCCTTGAAGGGTAATACAGTTTGAAGCTGGAGGATCTCTATATAAATATCCGAGATAAGCTAGGTCCCCTAACTTTCAGTAGCTGTTGAATGGATAAAGTTGTGGTATATCAGTGGTTAGAAATACCATTATTACTTTAGGATTAGTTTAACACAAAGTTAGTGCTGGTCCGGGACTATTGCTGTGAGTCACAGTGCGCAGCATCAAGGTCCTTTCACATTGGTGGCAGCATGTGCTGCTAATGCTAACTAAAAGCCAAGGCTCCAGAATTTGTTGCGCTGGCTGCTGAGCTCTGTGGGTTTTTGCAGCAGCTCTACTTGTACTAGATGCACCTGCTCCTTGTCGTTTCTATCTCTGACACACAAATCTTTTTACACATCCAAATCCTGATTTACAAGTACAAAATATTTATGACCACAATTTCAGCCCATAGAGGCGGCTTAAACATTTGACGAACAAGTTAAAGTTTGCTGGTTTTTGTGTCCAGGAGGAGACAAATCTCTTTGGGTTTGTGTCAGGAAGCTGATTCTGCTGTTTGAAAAAATAAATAAAAAATCTGACAAATAAAACAGAGAGAGGTACCTGCTGTGGTGACCCCCCTTGTGAATAAGGGAGCAGCTGACAACAGCTTCTTCTTCTTACGTAATATGTAATCAACATCCTGAAGTAGGCTTAATACACTTGCACTTATTCGGGCATTCATTTGATGCAAATCATGTTTGAGGAAACGTCCTCTCTGCAAACTGCTGCTTTGATTGTTAACAACAAGATTCAGTTTAATTTTTGGTGCCATCAGCTGTAGATCTGCCTGGTTTCTTGTAGATGGAGCACCATCTAGTTCTGCTATATCGTTTTCCAAGACAAAAAGACTCCTCGATGTCTTGTTCCAGAAATTCTTACTCAAAACATCCAGAAACCTTATTGTGAGCACTTAATCTAGAAAATGTTTTCTGTTGGCTGAATTACAGCAGCCAGCTGTATCACTCAGTACAATAAAGAGATTGTGTAATTGAAGGTTTGCATCCTGTGAAGCTTTCATTACACAAACTAGCTTACTTTTAGCTAGCTGCACGTCTTTTGATTGGCACATATAAAATAGTTCACACACACACACACACACACACACACACACACACACACACACACACACACCAGGGTCTGTGGCTGACAGATCTGAAACTTCTCCAAAACTGGTATAAATTGCACTATGTATCATGACATGCGTAGATGTAATTTTGAGGTGAAATTTGTAATTCTCTGAACTTTATTGCTTTATTGACATTAAAGGTACTTGGACAGAGACGTGGCTCTACAGTTTGCCTGTGTCTCTGTGTGTCAGATCTCCGTCCCTGAGTCCAGAGTGGTGGAGCTGACGGAGAAGCTACTGACCAACAGTGAAGTGAAGCTGGCCGGGCTGGGAGCTAGGGACAGCCTACGACTGGAGGCGGGGCTTTGTCTTTATGGCAATGACATCGATGAGACCACTACACCTGTGGAGGCCACGCTTGTCTGGACCATAGGTTGGGGTTTAATTTTTTTGGTCGTTTATTCTTCTTCTTTTTTGTTTTTTTTTTGTTTTTTTTTTGTTTTTTTTTTCCCCTCTAACGGCTGCTTTTGTGGGAGGCTGTCATGAAACTTGTGATTTAAAAACATTTAAATTATTTTGTTTTTATTTGCCACTTAATAAGCAGCTGTCGACTAAGGCGTCACTCAAAGGTAGACGTTCTTCTGATTGGTCTCCGAAGGCGAGAAGCAGCACATGTGTTAGGATCTTTTACTAATAGTTTCACAATTGCATACCAATTAGATACCATCATCTGATAATTTGGAATTACACATAAGATTTTTATTTCTTTGTGTTTTTTTTTTTTTTTTTTCTTTTTCCAATTAGAGGATCCCAGATGTTGTTGTGCACGCCTGCCTTTTCATTCAGTCTGTCAATGAACTCTGCTGGTGTCTCACACACAGGAAAGCGCAGACGTCAGGCCAAAGATTTTCCCGGTGCTGACATCATCATACCTCAGATCAAAGCCAAGACAGCCAGGAAGAGAGTGGGTCTGGTGTCCACCGGCCCCCCAGTCCGGCAGCACACCCCTATTCTCAGCCCTGATGGAAAGGTCATAGGTCAGAATGTGCCAAAGTACAAACAGACATAAAAACATACCCCCCCCCCCCCCCCAAACAATTATGAGAGTATTGTTGTTTGCCACAGTATCTGTTATGTTGCCAATTGGGGTCTCCAGACTCAGACATTTTCAAATCTTACATGTTAGGGCTTTAAAATAGATACGATCGCAATGTTTGTATTTCTGTAGTATCATATCAAATGTCAGTGAGATGATTGTTAAGTGTTTCTTCACACGCTGCATGATTGCGGACATGACAGTGCCTGTCATATAGAAATGAATGACTGAAAAAAAACTGTACAACAGGATTTCCTTGGAAAGACAAATTCCTTTGTGTTTTGTACAGGTGAGGTGACCAGCGGCTGCCCCTCTCCCTGCCTGAAAAAGAACATTGCCATGGGTTACGTGGATGCGGCATTCGCCAAAAATGGAACAGCCATCCAGGTCGAGGTCAGGAAAAAGGCAGTGCCGGCCACCGTCAGCAAGATGCCCTTTGTGCCCACCAAGTACTATACTGGTTAGGAGAGACACTTGTATGGCGAGTATAGGTGCTACTGAGCGTTCCTTCAAACGATCCCGTATTTGCCAGCACTACCCCTTCATTCTTAGCTCACTATTTAAAATGTACAAACCTTCACTGGTGAGTCCAACAGAGGAAAAATTAGTCCAAAAATTACTACTGACTATTGATCGGTCACTGTAACGCACAAATATATTAAGTTTAAAGTACTCAGTGTTCATATTCAGAGTCACCAGGGCTGCTGCTTTGAGAATGGACATTATAGGAGCTCATGTAGAGAACAGGGTGTCCAGATGACCCTCTTCATAATAGATTGCAAAGCATTTTTATCCCTTGTCCCCCCCATCCCACGTATTAAGAGTGTGTTCCACATTTTGACTGGCTCTGCAGGATGTGCATGTCTATAAAGTCTGGCTTGCAATCAAGCTGTCTGAAGACAGCAGGGAAGGCCTTATATTCAAGTGGAAGTTAGTCCCACGTAGAGTCATGTAGCTCTGCCCATCAGGGAAAGATGATTTTCGGAAATGTGATGGAAACTGCCACAAAGAAAATTATTACGTTAAACTGGGAAATTCAATTTTTGTCCAGCTAAAAAGTTCCACATTGTCTCTGTGTTTTTTTTTTTTTTTTAAATTTACTTTGCCGCACTTTAATTTTTCCAGTGGGAGTAACAAAGATGTAAACACTAGCATTTCACTTTTTATTGCTAACAAAACATGAAATCATTTCAGTTTGTCACTGTTGGACCAAAACAGAAACTGCACATGACACATTTCCCTTTCTAAGGTTTTCTGAATGTTATAAACCAAATTTCCAGTGACGATGGTTTTATAAAATGCCTGATTTGTAAACAGTGGCGACTTGTTGTCCTTCCATGCAAAATGTCTCTGTCTGAAGTGTTGTAGTTTTTACTTTACTTTACTTTTTTACTCTTGGTTTGGTGATTCATAAAGAAATCGTAAGATAAAAACACTTTGCACCTGGGCAACATGTGGTACAAGACTAACTTGAAAAGATGTTAATTGTAATTATTTTCTGTTTTCTGTCTGCTTCTAATGAAATTTTAATTATCAAATGGGACACTGTCTTATGACTTATGCATGTCTGCAAAACTAATGACTCTTAGGTTCTCTTGAGTATTTGCTGTATGTGAGTTTGTACTAATACTTGGACTAATTATGGAGTTTTTGTAAACATTTTCTATTGATATGAGGTCTTTTCTTTAATAAAGGTGATTTTGTTCAGTCCTCTTCTGTCATCTTCAACATCCTTTGTCCAGAATATCCATTAATCCTGTTATGCACAGGTCCATCTAAGCCTTGCCTCTTTGTCTTTAAACCATGGTTTAAAGACAAAGTTTGAGGTTCCCCCACCTCACGCTCCGTATCCTGTATTTATTGTTAGTGCCACCATCTCCAAATGTCAGGTCTCGATACTGTGTTGTGAATAATACCCAAATCGGATACAGTAAAAGATTTAAATTCAAGATTACATTGGTAAAATGTTCATCTCCAAGCATGAGTCTGGAGGGATGTAAATGTGTTTTCCCCAAATTCGACTCATGGCTCACACCTTTGAATCAATAAAACACGATTAAAGGCGAGCCGTTTGGTATGAAAACCCCAGAAATTCAAACTTCAGTTCAAAACAAATGCATGACTCAATTTATTTAATCATATCAAGTCCACAAAGGAACTTCATTTACGACGCGTGACGTTGGCTTTACACGTAAACGGAAAGGAGGGACTTTAACCGAACAAACCTGGCAACCCCGGCTGCCGGTTTTATCAGTAGCTACTGAGGGGAAGATGGTGGACTTGGCGACTACAGCGTGCTCAAAACTCCGTCCCAAACGCTTTGAAAAATACTTACCATCTCACCCTAGTATTAGATATAGATTACCCGGGGAAAATCATAGATAATACACCGGGGCAGCTGCTAAAGACAGCCACTTTTCCGCCAACGGACAACTCTTTATTCATAGACTGAAGAAAGCGAAAAGTTACGGAACGTGGTGTTGGTTGGTGATCGTAACGGAGGCTAGCCAGCGATAACACGAAAGCAGGTGGCTTAAAAATATCAACAACCCCCCCTAATCCTTGTAAATACGAACAGGCTGCAGTTCCTGCTGTTTTCACGGCCGTCGTTCAAATCCTTGAGCTAGCTAACCTCAGCTAGCTTTGTTGTGAAACGGAGGATCAAAGCTGCTCGAAATGCCGCGGAGTAAGACGGGGAAACGTGGCTCCGGTAAGCCGGGTAAGTAGCAATAGCAGCCATGCTAACTCGAGCTCAAGCAGGAATATAAGGGAATAGAAGTCTGAATACGGTTTGAACAGATCTAACAGTACACTTGGAAGAAAGACTAGCAGTTTGAAGCAGGGGTATTTTTGCCATATGGAATAGACGCTAACAGACGGGCAGCCTGTTGCTTCCTAACTTTAGCATGCGAGTTGTTTTGGACCCTGTCGTGCACATCCATGTGGGTATAATCAGTGCTACAGCTTAGCAGTGCAGTCTGCATTTGCTTGGCGTTAATGCTAAAGTCAGTTTGACACTAATAAGCGCGAGGAGCGGTCCAGGAAAGCTTGATGCATTTTTTTAATAGCTGCAGACTTCTGCATTGAGAATTATTATTTAAGCTCATTTACATATGAATGCATCAATAAATGCAAAAAAAGGTTGCAATACAGAAGTGAATGCCCATTTTTCATGTTTTCTTCTCCATCATGGCCATTCTTGCATTACATTCACCTTCCCCTCCGTTCATGAACCTGTCCACTGCTCTTGCTCCAAATATACAATCTATTTCAACCATCCGTTCATTCCATCATGTCCAGGCTCTCTCCGTCAGGAGGTTCTTCAGCTGCAGCTGTCGACTAAGGCGTCACTCAAAGGTAACTCCTCTGATTCTTGACTCCCGACCCCAGCTTCTACATCTGGTTCTAACCTTGTCCAGAAGCTCTTGAACCTCATGATAGTGCATGCAGCAAATCAAACGACCATGTCGTTGTCGTCTATTCCAGCTGCACTCTTCCTTCTGCGTGCCTTGGCTGTTCACTTTAATAAGATGTAGCAGTTATATCTGAATGTTCTCATTCTTTGTGTGCACGTCTCACGTGAACACCATGCACTTGTCCTGGCTTTAAGGCAAGATTAAAAGACAGACATTACAGAAGTATGAATGTCATCTAATGACTTTTGACCTTTTCATCCACCCGTCCTGCTGCACTTCCAGGTGTTTGGTTTATTTATTTATTTTAAAAAAACTTTTCTTGTTTTATCACCATCTACTCTGATCTTGAACTGGAATTTTTCCTCTTCTTACCTGCACTAATACCATAAACAATTATTTGTTGCTTCCTGTGCGACTATGTCATGTGTAAGCAATGTCATGTCAGCGTGACATTCTGGACGCTGAGTTAAAGTCACTGGTGACACATTGCTCTATGTGGCAATCCCTAACTTACTGTCACATGTTCCTTATTAACACATAATATAATCATGTTAATGTTTGAGCTTCCTTTGAAACCCAAAGCTTTCTGCAAACTTTAATGTACGGGATGGATGGACGGGGAGAATTTCAGTGTAAATTTTTGAAGTTGTTTAATTTATGCAGGATAACAGGGTTTAAAGTTATGAGCCACAGTTCAGCAATAATCCCCAGCTGGTAGAAACATGGGGAAACCAAGTATTTTACATGCTGGTCCAAAGTGTAAGTGTGGCTAAAGGAAGAATCCCAGATTACAGAGGATAGGCTTAAGAAAAGAAGAAGGAGAACCAAAGAATTTCATTATCTTTGGGAAGAGGCCAACAGGGGAAGAAACAAGAACCACGTGTATTGTCAGTATTTAGCTTTATTCAGATAATTCAGTAGTACAGTGTTTTAAATAATCTACTTAAAAATAGTGCGAAGCTGACAATATGCAGATATAAATATCATTAAAATGACTTATTTGCCTGGGAGAAGGCAAGTACAGTGCTAACAGGATGGGGCCCAGGATACAACCTTGTGGAACACCTCATATTATTCAGTTGATGATGGATAATTATGAGAAATGACTGACAAAGTCCTATGTGAGAGAGATACAAAGACAACCTTTTAAAGCTATCTTTAACCTCTCAAGCAATAAATGATTGTGAATGGAGACAGCACTGACAACCAGCAGTACCAGTAGAGAACACTTCTACATATTCCAGTAGAAACAGACTATTTAAACTCTAAAAACAGTAGTTTTTGTTATCGATGCAGATTTATGCATCGGTTTCCTGCAACACTCCGCGTGGTGTGGTATTTTAAGTTGAAGAATTTAGTTTTCCTTCAAGGTCTGTTTCTGGATGACTTCAAACAGGGGTTGCAGTTTTAGAAGAACAAGCGCTGACGGTGAGAAAAATAGATGTCTGAATATTAGCTGTGCTGCTTGACTTCTCCAACTGTAGGGGTAGTGATCCATTCAGATGTTTAGCAAAGTGCCTGCAAGGAGAATGCAGGTTAATTTAGCCATTGGAGTCCTATGTCCTCCATCTATAGCATGTGGGCTTTTTAAAAAGCTCCCACCTCCTCTGCTCGAATCTGTCAGCAGAGCCTTATTTCCAAGTGGCCGACCAACTGCTGGAGCCGTGTGAGTGACTGCTACGTAAGCATAAAGTGGCAATGTGGAGAGGACACGTGAGTCCTGGCGGGGAGCTCACACTTCACTAACTGAGCTGTGTGTGGGCAGGCCTGCGTAGGAAGGTGTGGAGCTCTGTGTAACCAGTGAAGTGACCAGCAGTTCAAGGATGGTGACTGGGAAACTGCCGACTGATATTGGCCCACAGAGTGTGTTATCTCAGCTACCAACAGTATGTTTGCCTCGGGCCATTCTGTCAGAGTAATCAGAACATCACATAAGGAAAGCGCACTTCAAGGAACGCTGTTTCGATCATCGTCTTTTTTTCTGAATTTACATTTTTTCCTGTATTTCCTCATGTGTTGTTTCCCAATTATTTAAAAGAAAAGAGTTATGTGATTGTTAACTATTAAGTAGAGAGCAGTTGTTGCTAGGAATCATGAACCGATTCTTGGTAGAGACATTTGGTGTAGTGGCAATAATACCTGCTACACCCAAATATTAGGTGTAGCAGTTGTTGCTCGTACTGTTTCCAGAGCCTTTAAATGATGGATGGGAATTAATCAGCAATGATGACAAAGGAATTAAGCAGTGCTTGGCTTGTGAATACAGGTAAGAAACTCTGTAAAGGAAAGGTAAAACTTAAGATCTGACAACAGTGGCTCAACAACTGAGTCCACTCCAGTCAAATGGCTGAACTTTAGCCTAGTTTACACTCTTTACTCTGAGGTCAAACATGGTCCTAGTTTCTTTTCATTTCTTTTTATCTGGGAAAACAGGTGGAAATAACTACAAGATATTGCAAAATGTGTCAACAAAGTTTGTGTATTTGCTGTGCTTTTGTGTTTGGTATTGAACAGAATGGAGTGACTTTCCTATTTCGAATTGCTCCAACACCGGTGACCTTTGGGCTACCCCAGCTGTCCTGTTTGACCTCGACACGAACACCTAAACACACGCATACTCGCGCACACACAGTCTGACCGTTCTGGATCCCACACACTGAATGAACGAATAAATGAAAACCACACTGGTCTTCAGTAATCCCAACAACAGTAGAAAGTCCTGAGCCAGCAGGAGTGTTAGCTTAGCTCGGCATGCCTCACTCTTAGCCCTTCTCATACACACACGGCAGAGCTGTGTGGAAACAGAACATCTGGCGCTAATAAACAAATAAAAGATGACGGAGCATTACCTAACGGAAAATCCTTGAGTTATCTGGTGTTTGCTGTGGTTAGAGACTTCATAGTATCATGTTATCCTAATGGAGCACTTTTCTGTGGAACATTCCGCTTACTTGTCATTTAGTAGAATGGGAGGCCGCTTGGTGTGATGCACTTTTTCACTTTCCTTGTGTTTTGCTTATTTATTTTTTTATATTCCACTGCAGCATGTCATTACATTTTGGCTCCTTTCTCTTGGTTTGTGTGTTGTTGTTATTTATTTATTTTTAATTAAAAAAAAAAAAAAAAGATTCCTAATATGCAGCAGATGTAAGGTGGTCTTAAAAAACCGAGCATAAAAGAAAAATGCTTGAAAACATTTTTTTTCTTTGCTATACCATGTGCATACAAATGAAGCGATTCTGACCACTAAAGTCAGACTAAAATATTTAGCATTGAATTTTTTTGTTCCACTGA